ATCGGTCACATTGCACGTAATTGTCAAAACAGGAGCTTAGGAGGTGAAATTCCTGATCGACTAAAATTGAATCACATTTCATCGAATGGTCGAGACGTTCGTCCTAGTGCTGTGTTTGTACCTGTTACAGTGTGTGGTGTTAGGGCAGAATTTCAAATGGACACGGGTGCGGCTGTGACCGTTATTTCAAAGAAAAGATTTTCTGAAATCCCACGACGGCAGCGACGTAAGATTCATCTCTCACCTGTGCAGCTGCATACAGCTACTGGAGCACCAATGCATCTATATGGGGTGAGTGACTTAAATTTATTGATTGGAGATAAAGTGTATCCCTGGACGGTATATGTGGCAGACATTATGGAGGACGGTTACCTCGGTTTTGACTTTTTGGCTCATTATAATTTTTCCTACTCAGTCAGCCAAGGTCTGCATTTGGACGGTCACAATGAGACCATTGCGGCTAAATTGAGGGTAAATTCGAAAGAGGATAAGAATTGTTCTAGCCCATCAAAACGTGTTAACAATAACCAGTTACCAGCACCAGCCAGTGTGAGAGTAAACATGGTCACTGCCCTCAACAAAAGACAGCGTCCTGGTAAAAGCCAGCGGACACGCATGGCTGCTGTCCAGACTAACGGGTTACCCCGTACTGAGATGAACGCGCCGTCAACAAAGCCCAAGAATGTGGGTAGTAAATCAGTCCAGTTGTGTGCAGAGGTCAATTCTAACTGGAAGAAGAGGAAGATAATTCTAGATAGAACAGTGAAAAGACAGAAAATTGACCCCGACGCTAGAGAAGTAAAGCGCCCTTTCAAAGTGGGTGACGTTGTCCAGTATGCAGACTCAACAGACAAAGTGGGTGACGTTGTCCAGTATGCAGACTCAACAGACAAAGTGGGTGACGTTGTCCAGTATGCAGACTCAACACACACAGTGAGTCGAAACCAGATGGTGAGCACTAACAAGTGGCGCGGTCCACTGGTCATCAGCCGAAAACTACGGCAGTTACCTTGGTTAACCAATTCTTCTCCATTTTTGGTTGCCCGTTAGAATTGCATTCAGATCAGGGATCCAACTATCAAAGTAGATTGTTTAGACGGGTGATGGAATTACTAGACATCAAGCAAACCAGAACATCATCCTTCCACCCAGCCAGTAACGGACAGGCCGAACGTTTTAACTCAGTGCTAATTAAGATGATATCTGCCTTCGTAGCGGACAATCAAAAGGACTGGGATGTCCACTTCCCACTGTTGACCAATGCGTACAGAAACCATCAACATCCCAGCACTGGCTACAGCCCCAATTATTTAATGTTTGGTCGAGAGCTCTATCAACCCATTCACCTGGCAATGGGGGCTCCATTACCTGACAAATGTCTCGGTCAATCAGTACCGGAATACGTGTTGAAACTTGAACAAAGGTTAGACGATGTGTATGACACCGCCAGGAGACATCTGAAGACAGCAGCTCAGCGTCAGAAACGAGACCATGACACTCGGGCGGTACAACATACCTTCAACGTGGGGGACGTAGTTCTCTATTTGGATTTAACCAAACAGGTGGGTCGAAACCCAAAATTGAACCCAAATAAATGGCGCGGACCAGTCGTAGTCAGTCGAAAATTTAATGATGTGTTGTTTGAAATTCGAGGTGAGGGAAAGACGTAGGCAAGAATAATTCACCACGACCGATTGAAACCCTATTATGACAATAATCCACCAGACTGGATTTTAAAGTTACAAACAATTTGCCTGAGAGACAACTTCATAGGAGCCACCCCGGAGCTTCCACGAGTTCTGCAGGAAGCGTAGAGTGTTCGGGACACTTAGTTCCATTTATTTTTTGGATGACATTTAAATAGAATAGATTTATAGTGAATTTATGTTGTATTATTCAATGTTCATTGTTAGTTGAACGCTGTTAGATCAAACTTGTCTGATTGTGTGAGTGTAAGAAGCGCTCTGACTGACACCAAACTGACCCTGATCTTGACTAGAATTGTTAGGAGACAGTGACTGAGGTGACCTTTAACTCAATTGTGTTATTCTAGGTACGCGTAGGATTGAAACGAAGAGAGGTGCACTAGAAAATCAATGTGATGACACACGTGCGTTACTGTGAGCTGTTTTTTTTTAAATGAAGGCTGAAGGTCTGAGGCACTTTAAGCCAATTAGAAATCAGTTATGTAACTGCAGCGAGGGTGTTAGTAATGTCGGGACGACATTGGTTTTGTAAGATGGGGGTAGTGTGGAGAGTTCGGACCACGACGGCGCAGGGGGCGTCTGACGTAACCATCTGACCAGGGATTACGGCCGTCTGACCAGGTACAGCCGGCGCCATCTGACCTGGGATCACGACCGATGGATCAAGCGCTGGGGGCGGTACCGGCAATCCATCTAACCAGGGCATTTCCCTGGTCTGTTTGTAATCTGGCGCCGATTGGAAAAAGGGGCGGGGTATAATGCGCCAGTCCAGACCTGGGACAGGGAGGTATAAATAGGGATCTCTGGACGGGACGAGAAGAGAAGGCGGCCGGACTGAGAACTAGATAGCAGGGAGAAGTCAGAGTTGTGAATTGAGAGAAAGAGTAAGCAAGGTGACAGCCCAAATAAAGAACACGAGTTTAATCATCAAATGTATCACCGGAGTTGTTTCCTTATTGAGTACCAGATCTAGATGAAGTTTGTCAGAGAGTAAGCAAGGTTTCCTTACAGTATTTACTTCCTCCGTCCAGTGAACTAAATCGTGCGTATCAAACTATCATTCGGTTGTACTGAGGTGTACTAAGTTTTGTATTGAGTTAATACTGACCATTATACTGTGTCGTTGACTCTGTGATGTTTATACTGGCCACCATTTTGTTATGTTTTCATTGTTTTTATTGCAAACAAGTAACATAAACATATATATACATAAATACAAGTTCTCAATCAGGTGTTGACTTTCTGCTTGCGTCCGGCACACGGTTCATAAACACCCATACTCTGTCCAGTCTCTCTGCGCATTCGCGCTCTTTCCTTGGCTGGCTATCGGTACGAGCCAGTCCGCTAGTCCACCATAACACTTGCACAGTCAACCTGCTATGTTAGCGATCAGGTACTGGATGCGCCATCTGGATATCACGCAGGTCTGTAGCAGGTACATAACAGGTATAGGGCAGGTTTAAAGCAGGTATATTACACGATACCCATGTTAGCCATTTTTTTGTCGTCAACTGTCATCAGGAAGTAAGAGCAATGGCAGTGATACTGACTTCATGAACTTAAAAACACATCTCATTTTGGAAACGTGAAATGTTGATTATTATAAGTCTTTTTTAACGCTTTTTTTCTTCTTTTCTTTCATCCACTCAATCTTAATTTACATCTAGCGCCTTTGGTACTTCTGTTACTTCTTTTTTTGTTTTTTCAACTCCTTGTGAAGCATAGGCCAATGACAATTTATTTTCAAGCCTTCAGTTGTCTAACTATACTCTCTAGCTCAGCTTCACGTCTCTAGCTACTCTTTCTCTCTCTCTCTCTCTCTCTCTCTCTCTCTCAGCATCATGTCTCTAACTATACTCTCTAGCTCAGCCTCATGTCTCTAGCTATACTCTCTAGATCAGCCTCATGTTTCTAGCTATACTCTCTAGCTCAGCCTTATGTTTCTAGCTATACTCTCCAACTCAACCTCACGTCCCTAGCTATTCTCTCTCTGAGCATCACGTCTCTATCTATTCTCTCTCTAAGCATCAGGTCTCTAGCTATTCTCTCTCTCGACATCAGGTCTCTAGGTATACTCTCTATAGCTCAGCCTTATGTTTCTAGCTATACTCTTTAGCTCAGCCTCAGGTCTCTGTTAACACTCTCTAACTCCCCTATTTCAAGGTTCGTTGTTTCTAGGTTGCCCTGTTATTAAAAGCAATATTTATATTATTTTTTGTATTCTCGGGAATGGTGAGGGGATGAACAATTCAAAGTTCGCCCCAGACGACACAATTTATCACTACGCCACTGCTTAAAATCTCAAAAGGTGATTTTGAAATATATCTTTAAAAATTGTTTTTATAAAATGACTTTCCCGGGTTCTAACTTATGAAAAGTGTATTTCTCAACTGGTCAAGATTCTTAAAACACTTTGTACTGTATATTGGACCGCCAGGTGAAGGCTAGGGGGTGGGGGGGGGAACCAAAACTTGACGGTCTTGTTAAGGTACTATTTACTGGAAGCTGTCACAGTAGAAAGAAAATTACTGGAAGCTGTCACAGTACAAAGCAAATTACTGAAAGCTGCCACACCATATAGCAAACAACTGGAAGCTGTCACAGCACATACCAAATGACTGAAAGCTGTCACAGTACATAGCAAATTACTGGAAGCTGTGTCAGCACATCTCAAATTACTTCAAGCCATAACAGTATATAGATACTTACTGGAGTCATTCACAGCACAAAGCTAATTACTAGAGGCTGTCACAGTACGTATTTTATTACTGGAGACTGTGACAGTACAGAGGTATTTCTATTTAACTGGGTTGGAATGAATAGCTAAATGCAGTGCTGAGAATGTGGCCAATGTTTTGCAAGTTTCAAGAATCTCAAAACAGTGAGAAGAAGTTTATGATTAAATAAATGTATGCCAGGCTTATATTACTCCTTAAAATTTATTTTCGCTCGTTTGCAGTAGTCGACAATCCCGGACCCCCCCCCCCCCCCTATAACAAAAAAAAG